GGTCTTCTCTATGCTCATTCTGATTTTATTATTGTTTCAAAGATGACTCTGATGTTCAAAAAAAAATCTTAATTTATTAGGGTCTTGCTCCCATTCTCCAATTACTTGGTATAGTAAGGTTTTGACAAGATTGCCTTGCCAGCCTATACAGTACAGTTAAGCTTCTGTCCTATCCAGCTAATCAGAATAGCTCTTTTTGGTGGATTTAAATCAGAACTTTAAACATGAAAAATTCAATCATTATTAACATTTTAGTAATAAAATGCAGTTAAAATTATTAGAGTGAATCCAATTATTACTTACCCCTTTCAAGGCAAGAGGATAACATGCCAACAGTATAACAGTACTTTAAAAATACAATTAACATAGTCAGACCTCTTTTAATATGTGGGAGAACAATAAAACCCATATCACTCCCCCCCCCCAAAAAGGCATACTTGCAAAACTTAATACAGGCTCAGTAAATGGCATCTAAAATATGGATGCCAGAAAAGCCAAGACATTTTACATTAAAATGTAAAGAGATCATCATTACACATCTAAGTTATATATGGTAAAAACACACTACAGTATATTTCTCGAAACTGCTCCTTTAGAAAAAATGCCATTTCTTTTTTCTGTTATACTTGTGGCCAAGTTTCCTTTGTTACATATTTTACTAGGTATCTATGTGCATAGACATTTCATGATGTCATGACCTAGGAATTAAAGCCCCAAATAATGAAGGCATCTTTACCTTTCCAATAGGTGGATGTGTTAGAAAGCATCAAAAATGAATGTTTACGATGCCTCAGCATTCTGAACACCTGGCTGACTTCAGCTGGATAAAATTGAACCTGAGCAAAATGGAAGTAATGCTGGTGAGCAGGGGAAAAAGCGTACCTCTTCCTTAATATACCCAAAGGTAAAGAGCATCTGATCAGACTCTTCATCACAGATGCATCAGTTTGTATTCTTAGAATCTATTTAGACACTTCAGTTCTACTTTACATGGAAGCTGCCACAGCAATGAAAACTGCTCGTTTCCATCTGCAGCTGGCCAAACTACATCCTATGGACCTTGGTATAGTAGTCCCATCACTGTAAAAGATGGAACCATTATACCTTAATGATGGTTCATTTGATTTGATTTGAAGCATGGCAAGTCATCTACTGAGCATTACGGATCATCACTAACATATCAACCCAGCACTTCCCTTTTTGCCCCAGCAAACCTTAAGTGAGTTGAAATTCAAGGACTACCTCTCTTTCAGACCAGGAACTCTTTACACAGTCGTGTTCCCCATAAACAAGTACACTGTCGTCCAGTACTATAAGATCTATAACCAGAGAATACAGAACTTTGTCAGGAACTGGATCAAAATCACGTAGTTCATACCTGAATACAGGTCTGTAAAACCTGAGCAAGCAGGTGCTACTTAGACAGTAGTTGACTTAACTGAAAGAGACAGAAATTAGGCTTTGGGAGGTGATGCCAAGGTTCTTAGGAGACTGGTATTATCAACCTTTGGAAGCGATCACTGAAGTGTGATGCACATAAGAAGAGCGGGAAATTTTGAGGGCTCCAGCTAGGATAAAATTGATCCTATGGTTTGAAACAAAAGAATCAAGAATACTCAGCATACCTTTAATGTAATACATGCATCTCAACACGGGGTGCTCAGTAATTTCCTGTTCACCTGCATGGTCAAAGATTGCTCCAGTTATTTCCTAACAAAAAAAATAGCTATTTTCCACAAGAGTCTTGGTGAGTTACTTTCAGTTAAAATCAGTTTAATGGATTTCTGTAAGCTGTAGTATTTCAGCAGCAAATCAAAGGTGGTCAACTGTTTTTGGATACAGTGAAAGATAGAGATAACATGACTACATAACCAACATATTTAGTTTCTTTGCTGGCTTCCAAACATAAGTAAGCAATGAAGATTACAAGTAGGCTGCCATGACCAATAGCTAGAATGAAAAAGTATCTTTTGCACAAATCAGTACGTCTGACTACAAACTTACCGAATCACTTGATATCCCAGACACTTACTGTAACCTCCCACACAATTATTACCATGTTTCCTAGTTCAGAAATCAATGTGCTATTTTACGTGTGGATTAGTAATAGATGATTAGTAGGGGGAAAAAAATTCCACTTATTTGTAAATAAAGTCAGTGCAGTCACAACTTTTCAATGCTCTTCATTCATGCCAGTTCATTAGTGCAGGAATTTTCATATTTTTTTAAAGGAGTGTACCCCTTCTGGTGGGTACCCCTGCTGGAGTGTACCCCCTTCCATTTGGGGGGGGAAGGGTGCTGAAGGCGACTGGCCGGACACAAAGCCAGTGGCACATGACAGCAGCACAGTGGTCAATGACAGCGGCACGGGGTGGGGAAGTGGTGTGCAGCAGCGGCACAACGGTGGATGGTGGTGGCAGGGAGTTTGCACACAGCAGCAACTGCTGCCATTCACCACCACATGCCGCTTCCCTGCACCACCACACATACCCCCTGGGGCCATCCCAAGTACCCCAGGGGTAAGTGTACCCCTGGTTGACAACCCCCGCACTAGTGGAGTGCTCCACCAAGCTGTAGAGATTGATGCAAGTTTGTTTTCTGGCCTTTTTCATTTGCTCATTGGGCAGTTGCCCTCTGAATGGCAGTTTGCTCAGCTTGCATGCCTGTGCAGGGATGAAAGTGGAAATAAAAATAATCATTTTCATTACAAAAGAGCAACTTCACCTATGGGAGGTGAAGGAGCCACAAGACCGAGTATAACCCTATCCACTACTACAGAGAAAAGGGCAAAGGGGGGGAACCTGGCACACTGGGAATCCTGCTGAGACTGACCAGTCTTGCCAGATCCTTCAGGTCTTCTACATTATTTACACGTACACAATGCTATTTAAAACAGCAGCTGCATCTACATATTGCTCCTCACTAGGTCCTGTTGGGAGGAGACGACACAGAAGAGGGAACAATTCCTCTTTTGTATTTTTTTTTTTATTTTGTAGTAAGATCCATGTATTATATAAAATATAAACAGGAAAAGTGAACAAGTCTATAAAATAAATCAAGTCTAGATGACAAACCACTACAGCTTTGCTTTCATGGTTTATGATGATGTCACTAGAACGCTCATGTACTGATAACCTTGAACTTTAGTTATCTAGTGTATGAACCTACATAAAAAAGCTGATATGTCTCAATTAAGCCATAGTTAAATGATAAATTTAGAGAAAAATGGCTTTCATAAGCTACAGCTGCCCTTGATACAGGTTGCAATGATGTCCAACTATACTATAATGCACATTACATCAAGAACCTTGAAGAGCCTCTGGAAAAGGGATTCACATTTAGCATTTTGAAGGAAGGTTCAGAAAATACTACACTGCACCAATGGTACCTCCATGTCCTGCGTATGCCTGAAGAAGGTTTGTTGTTTTTAATATGCTACTACAACCATGGCACTAAACCTAGATAGAGGTAGGTTACAGGCAAAGGTAAAAATCCCTTCAGAATTAGTGGCATTGCACAAACTGCCCAGCAGGACGCCAAGGCAACGTGACAATGACCCCTTCCTCTAGCAATGAACTAATTCATAACCATTCTTAATTTCTAGTGCCCTGGAGAACAACAGCTGTTAGGAGCTGCAGTCACGACACTGGAACAAAGTCTCAAAAGCCTGCCAGGCAAAAGTATGTTACTGTGCAAATGGATGCATCACACTATTACCAACTAGACCTTCCAGTTCAGGAACCGATGGACATAGCTCTTCTGGATGGTAAGAGCTTATCTTCTTATGTGTGCAAGAAACATTCTGAGGATATATACCCAAATGATCAAGAGGAGGACACACCACTATCGATTCAAAAGGGGTTGAATGAAGGTCAACCATATAAAACAGACTTCACATGAAGGCTGATGGACTTGGCTAAGGTTAAAAAGGGGAAGAGAAGGGAGGGGGGGCAAGAGGTTGAGACAAGAACTTTAAGGAAGAAAGCACACTTCTTTAGGATCAATTTAAAAAAATGTTAGCATACCAAACAGGCTTATAAATATCCTGTCTTTGGTATCAATATACGGTTGATAACAAATAGCATGGATACATTTTCAATATGGAAAATAAACACATTTGCAAATACAATAGTTAACAGCAAATTAACCCGAAGTTTAACGGCAAAAATGCCTTCAGTTCATGAAACGTGGACAAATAAGACTTTCACTATTTTTCCGTGCACTAGTTGGAGAAGAAAAAAAAACAACGCTGAAGATCCATTTTATTTCTACTTCTGAGAAAGAAGGGAAAAAGTTAAATAGAACTGTTCTCCAATTTGTTCTCTACTATATGTACACCCACACACATACATACACGCACATGCACACACTCCTCAAACTGCACTGACATTTTTTTTTTTTTTGACCAAAAGAAGAGATCCTGGGAGCAAGTGCAAAATGCAAAAATCAACTGACAGAAAATGCTGAACAAACAGCATCATTAAAATACAAAATATTTATATTACTGAACTATTAACAGATGATGTTCTCTGTTTCTTTAAAACTTTGGAACCACATAGCTGATTTCTTAAATCTAGTCCATGCCAGCTTCCAGAACTATTAATGATTTAATTAGCTTCATTCTTTGATGCTTCATCAAAGTTTTCTACGAGATCTGAAAGAGATGAAAATATTAAATACAGTTATTTTCCAGTAACACTGTCTTTATATTTTAAAGAAACTATCCAATATAAGAGCCTAAACAGTTATTAATTCTACATTGTATGTACACAGCTTTTTCCACCTGCAGATTTCAAAAGGGTTTACAGAAGGGATGCCATTTGTGTGGAGACAGAATGAGACATGCAGGAAAGCGAAGAACTAAATTTGTTGAATCTCTACTAAGTTGCTGCTCCATAGAAGATGCCCAGGATCTTTCTGACTTCAGCTGGGTTTCAGGTAACGAGTATTTAAAACAGCAAATAAAAAAATGGTCTTCTAGTGGTCTCAATGAAAGAGGTGTACTCAATACAAGTGGAAACCTTTGAATAGGCCTATGCAACTTACCCATGGTAAAGCAAGTTAATGAAGAACCATAGAGAGAACTCAGGTCTCCTATCTACACTGTTACAGAACGCTTGGATGCATACAAAAGAATGCGATATCACTAACCATATGTTGAAAATTAACCATATATTAACCAGGTACAACAATTATCTCAAACTAACAATGCAGAGGCATAGCAAGCTCCTGCAATGCCCCAGGCAGAGCGGTGACCACTGGAGCAGGGGGGAGGAAGGAAAGGGGATCCTCAGCTGCCCCAGCTCTCTCTGCACTCAGGTAGTAGTTGCTGCAGCCACAGTAGTACAGGAACAGGCTGCTACAGACATATAGCCAGTGCACTGCACACCAGCTGCAGCAGGTATACCTGAATGCAACCACCTTGCAAGTCTTTGCTATGGAGGTGCAGCTCCATGCTTCCCAACCAGAGAAGCACAGACAACTGTGCCGTGTGTATGTGGGTGGGAAAGAAAACAGAGGGGGAAGCAGAATGGTGGCTCCTCACAAGAATTTTTGCGAGGGACCCAAATCCTTGGGTGGAAACAGGGCACACCATTCTGGTCCCCCCATGCCACCACACACTACAGGACACAGGGTTGCTCAGCTTCTATGGGCTGAAAGCAGAGGGCTATACCTGCAAAGCAGAGACTCGTCAAAAGACAAATCTGGTGCTCCCCTCAAGTCAGTGCATGAAGCTGGCATCCCACTCACCTCCCTTAGTTATGGGACTGGAACAATGCTATGAATAAACGGCATCAGGTCCCCAGTAAAAAAAAAAAATCCTACTTCTTCTCTTCCGATAAAGGTCCAAACTTGGTAGTATTGGTAGTAGGGAGAAACTTGTTTTCCTCTATTACAGAAACAAGTATTCATTTAAACAATCAGAGCTGAAAAGTATGCACGATCACTTCTAAATATTCCTCTCTCCTGCTGCATCAAGAAACCACTGTGCAAATGTTATTCTGCCAATCCTCTCAACTGCTACTCAAGTATTTATGCCTAGTTACAGATAATAAGGCAGAGTAGATATGTGATTTGCTCAAGGCCACACAGCAGATGAAATTCAGGCTTTTATTTTCTATGTTTCACCTTTATTTCATTACACCAAGATGTTTCTCTAGATGAAGGGTATTGCTGTACCAAGAGTCAAATGGAAATATCTACTGAAATAGTATATAATTTAAAAATGAAGAAAAAAAGTGGGTCAGCAAGCTTACCTGGGACATCATCATCTTCTTCATCAATGTCTTCAGATTTTGGTGCTTTGCTATCCAACACTGTAAAAGAAAGCCTTGTACTGAGCATATGAACTAATATGTAGATAATCCTACAAACACAACAGTCCTACACAACCACCCTCAAAGCTATTATTTACAGGTTAAATAGGAAGTGTACATTTTCTGGCAAACATACACATATATATATATATATAAAACACATATACATATATACACACACCCCCCAAGAGAAATGCTTAGGAGGAGTTAATACAGAGGAACTATGCAACCAGGAAAGGCTCAGTGCACAATCTGATGTAAATCTATACAACATTGCTACGGTTAAATGAAGTGGGTAATTTGAAAAACTGGGATGCAAGAGCCAGTGTTTCCATTCAGGGGTGTAAGATGCTTGTCATTTCTAAGAGCTGGTGCTTTTACCATACAGCATAACTGGCAAAACTACCAAAGTGTAGACACTACATAACTGAGCTCCCCCCTCTCCAGTTTTCCTGTTATTCCCATGAAATTGGCAGTATCTTAATAATAGGGGTGTATCAATAGAGATTTTGGGGCCAATATACTGATAGGCCATTTTTAAAGGAGGCATATTGGCCAATACCAGTCCAATTTCTGATACCAGCCCAGCAGCTGGGATTGCTGCGTGCAGCTGGTAAGTCCGGTGTGGTGGAAGGGGGAGGGAAGAAAAGGGGCATGTGGGGAGGAACAACACAGATCAAGGCCCTCGTGGTGAAGAAGGGGTGGGGCCAGGGCAAGTGCTGCCCAGCCAGAGCGGAGCAAGAGGGATACAAGCAGCTCCCGCTGCTGGATGTCACTCACCCAGGAGCTGCTCATATGGCAGCTCATCCAACGCTCATCCACTCATCTGGCAGCTCCCCCCAGAGCTACCATGCTTGTCCAGGAGGATGTGTCCCTGGATCTGTGCAGATAATTTTCTTTGCATCTGTACCGATCCGCTACTAGGCCGATGTATCAGTGCACCTCTACTTAAGTCTGCTGAATGTGGGCTGGAGTCAACAATTTGTGTATCAAAACTGACCTATTATTCCATTTTTAAGTTCCAAAAGAATTGGATTTTTTTCCTAATTATTTTTTCCTCTCTTACAGATTCATAGATGTTAGGAACAGAAGGGACCTCAGTAGGTCAACAACTGCTACCAATAAATAACTGTTTTTCTGCCTTCAAATAAATTCTGGGTTCTTATAATACACACAAAGTTACTTTCCTAAAGTAGCTGGGTTCTACCAAGGGTGGCTCAACAGATACCACAGAACAAATATTAGGTACTGTATGAAGTTCCATTTCATAGCCACATTTTTCTGCTTGCTTCCCAGATTGTTCAACATGTTAAACAGTAAAAATTAAAAACAAAAGTTTGAAATTAAATCTCCCTGTTCACAGGGGTGTTTCAATAAAGATGCATGGTTTCAGCAAAGGGAGCATGAAATGACTCAAATGATAAACACTAAAACTCCAAGTTATAAAATAATGGGACAAGCCTTTACATAGCACACAACAGCACTGCGTATGATATAGAATTAACCAGCTGACTATGTTCAGCCATGGTTTTTCAGGCTCAAAACATTAACATACAATACAGGAAAAGTAACTCTTCATTTACACCTGACCTTAAGTTTATATCTAAGTTGGCAACTACCATATTTACTCAAATATAAGACTACCCTCCCAAAATTAGATTCTATATATGGAAATTTATAAATGTTACAATTTTCCAGGTATAGAATCTAATTATTAGAGGTTAACCTTGAATTTGTCCCCCTCTCACTGCTACAATAAAAATAAATTTAAGGGGGTCACGAGACCCCCTTGCACTTTGCCTCCCCCCTCAACTTCTCCCTACAGTCCCCTTCCTCCTTACTGGCAGACCCCACTCTTCCTGAGCACATGGAAGTGAGGAGCAAATTTAAATACACTGACCCTGAAATAAACACAGCTTTAGTAAATTGCACACAGTACCCATACACATCTCATCCACAATTGATGCAATTTACCTTTCTTGAAACTGCTGCAACTTTTAGCACAGGTAACTCCATACACATTTGTAAGCAGCACTTTGGCATCTACTTGTATGTAGTACAAATTATACATATTAGCCCAAAGCCAAAAGGCTCCCGATTTACCATATGGTTCATTGGGGTAGGCCCCAGCAGTCAACAGCATTTCAGCTCAGCATGTGTGTACTCCAGACACCCCCACAAAGGATCCATGTGCTAATCAGCCCCCCACTCATGACTAGAACTGGGTGTTCTTGTCTTATACTGGGTTCTTGTCTTGCTCTCATCTTATACTGGATGTGCTTGTCTTGTTCAGATGGGCTGCACTAACCTATCCTTGCAGTAGGTTCCTATCACCATGTTTGCACAATATGGGCCAGGTGTTCTAGAGTCATGCTCAGTGTTGACTACATTTAATCAACTTCCTAGTTAGTTTCCATTACTGAGCACATGCTGCTTTTGGCAGCAGTTTAATGATAAACAGTGTATTTAGTGAGGTGTCCTTTTCCCCGGGGTGCTGATCTGGGGAGGAAAAAAACCCCAAAAAACCACACGCAAAAAACCCCCATGTCTTGTAGTCAAGTAAATATGGTAATAGAAAAAGTTCAAAATTGACCAACTTCTCAGACATCAGATGCATCACCCAAGCAGTTTCTACTCTCACACCCTCCCAATATTCCACCTGTGATACTGCTACATACACAACTAATACTACACATTCAGTTATAACTAAGCTTCTGCACCATGTTACCAACATATCACAGCTCTTATAAAGCTACAAAATTTTGACACCCGATATGAACAAAAAAAGTTAATGCAACCTCAACACTGAATTAGCCAAGGGAAAGTCTAAAATGCTTTGCTGCTCTAAATTGCAGCTTGAGGGCTCCCGTTATGAATGAGCGCATGTGTGTGTGTAGGGTGGGTAGGGGTATTTTATACAAACACAGAATACTTCAAATTGAACTTCTTCTTAAAAAGCCCTGGCTCATATCTCCAGGCAAAATTGAAATTACAACTACATTTTATGTATTTTTAAGTATTGAAAACAAAATTTCATAAAAGAGCCTTGTAAACTTGTCTCTAATAATCTCTACGGCTTCTTAAAAAAACCTATTTCTAAAACATATCAATTGTTTAGTTCATCTTTTATGAAAAAATCTCTTTGCTAACTCACAGGAAGAACTCATTCAAAAACAAAAGTACTTGTGCTTTGCAAGGAAAAACTTCTAGGTTCAAGATCAGATTTCTACATTTGGTGATCTTCATCTGCTTTGAGGAAGGGGTTTTTCCTAATAAATGATGCTCAACAGGCCTGTTGGAAGATCCTTTTAAGGGTGCCATGGGGTGCTGCACAATATTAGCACATGGTTATATACACCTACACGATTTATATGACAAACCCAGAGATTTCAAATAGGAATCTGTAGTGTCAGAAACAGAAAGACCACAACAGGTCAGAATGAGTTATTTGCAAAAAGAATCACTATCATTTTTCCATAATTTGAAAAACGATTTAAATGTTTTTTTCTTTAAATTGGGGGGAGCACTGAATTCAGAGAGGTTATGAGGGGAGGGCTGCAGTCTAAAATGATTAAGAATCACTGCTCTAGATGATACATGGAGGTCCCTTCCAGCCCAACTTTTAATAGTTATTCCCTAAATTTCATTTGCTCTTTATAGTTACAACTAACTTTTTATTTTGGTCTACAGAACTTCTATTGCAACATTTAAAGAAAATTTCATTAAGTGAAATGTCAGTTTATTATATAAAAAAAGCTGGTCTCATTCTAGGTATTTAGATTTAATTCCATATTCCTGAAATAGAACACAACCCACATCAAGCTACTACACTCTACACTCAATATTGCAAAGTACTGTTTAAATCAATGATTCTCAACCTTTTTAGATTTAGGGCACCACTCTGTATCTCTTCTGCATTTAGCATTGTTCCAGTTGAGAACCACTGTTGCACTGCCTCAGATTATCTCAATGGTTCTCAACTGGGATACACCACTGCTGCCATAATGTCCTATGTACCTCCTGTAGAGAAGGGTGGCACACAGTCTGCAGCAGTGCTCTTGCCTATAGTGGAGTTATCTGAGAAACCTAAAGTAAGCAGGAGCACCCACTCATGCTGCAGCCCTTCCCAGTCTGACTTTATGTACTTTTCACAGACAGTTAAACCTGACCCTGAAGGACCTGGTCACCAATCTGGCTCCACAGGAGGCACACAGGTTAGTTCTACCTGGCTGCAACACCCACAACACAGTATCTCTGAAAGGGTCCTGGCAGCACCCTAGTTGAGATCCACTAGTTTATATTTTTGGTAGTATTATGTTTAATATGCCCAACTTTATCTAAAGATAAAATCAGTTTTAATCACATTTTGTGGCCACTAGACAACAGAAGCTTGAAACAGAATTATACCACTGTCCCAAAGTTACAATACTAAGTGAACAGCAAGGTAGAGTCCAAGAGTGCTATATTTTGCAATTTGGGAATTGAACAAAAAGCAAATGATTTTGGAATTTTAAGAAGTCTAACACAAAAATCTGTAAGCACAACAAGACCTGCAATGTTGACTGAACAAATTTAAGTGGCCCACAAGTAGGTTAGTAAAGTGTTAAGTCTACTGAACTGATACTTACTTGGACTCTATACTATTTACAAAATTAAGTATAATTATCAGAAAACTACATTGTGCAAGGACACAGTATAATATAAGAAGAACAGTTTATCCTGTAAATAGTTTGAGTAATCTATTAGGTTTAAGTTACTTAAAGTATTAAGCCAAGTGTAAAAAAACCCCAAAAATTCAAGAAGCTCTAAATGACTGTCAGTCTTTAAGTCTTCTGAAAATGAGACTTGGGTTCCCAAGTCACATAGGCATTTATGAAAAGTTTACCTCAACACTTTTCCAAGAGGATTAAGTTTAATTTAAAAAAAAAAAAAAAAAAACTCTTTTAATAAAACTTTGCAAACAAGAACCCCTACCTGGTCTTGGGAACTGTTCCGCTAACTTCCTGAGACTTGTTAAGCTGTCAGCACCAAGCTGGCTTAAGATGCCTGGAAGCATTTCTGTGATCGGTTTAGCTTCTGCATGACCAGTAATTGCAAAAGTGTTTGCAGAAAGGGAAGCCTGGACCTTGGGGTTGTTGAAATGAATAACTGTTCCATCATCTTTTATCATATTCACCTGTTTAAATATAGAATATTTAGTACATTTCATACATTTTCCTCAAAACGCTTTAATTTCTCTTGTCAATACAACAAAAGCCATAAGTCAGCATTGCTTTTTTGTTTTTATGATAGTAGTATTTGATCAAATATGCAAATAAGCAATGGTTTGCTAAGTATTTTTACGTTTTCGCATAGACGCAACTGTGTTTTTAATTGAGAATTAACCTGCTAAAGAGAACAACTATATATAAATCATCATGCTCCAGGGCTTAAGCTAACTACCGCTAGTCAAAAAAAAAAAAAAAAAAAATCTCTTTAGTCTACATGATACAGGTTTGCAAGCCTTGGCTGCAGTACTGCAATTTGATGGACGCAGGTGAACCAGTATATTTCCAAAGTCTACTGAAGCCATGAGGGTGCAGGGACCTGCACAAGCACAGCACACTGCAGGGCAGAGCCTGGGGGCAAAGCATTCTCAGTTCTCAAAGCCTTTTATCAAACATGCTACTGAAGTTAACTTGGTTTTACTCATGTGCAACAATTAGCTAGACCACATGGCAGGAGCCAGTGATGTCCAGATACAAACTGTTCTGGGTAACTGAAGGACGCTTATCTGTCAAGTTTTGTCTGTACCTTAAGACTGAGTCTCTAGAGAAGGAGGAGGAACTAGGACTGTGTTTTCCTTTGTGTCCTGTACTACAGAGAGCATGCTGATCATGCTTAAATAGAAGGATTAGAGTAAATTCAGATTCCTCCACACACTTACACATTCAACTTAACCATTACATTTCTTTAGCTAAATGTAACACAGTAACATTTAGTTTACGCAGAGCAGAAACCCCTCTGCCACCTAACATTATCTCAGAGCTCTCCAAGTTTACACAACAGATCAGGTCAATTTTGTAAGGAAAGTCAAAACAAGTGTCCCAGAGCCGTTTCTAAAGTGAAAGATTTGTATTTAAAAAGAAAGATCATTCAATAGAACTGCAACAATTCCATCACTGTCTTGCTGGGATTTTAACTTGAGTAAGGACACTGCCTACTTAGTGTCTCTGCAAGTGCTAAAAAAGTTATCAGCCTTGTGCAAATGTTACAGTTCTTTGAGTTTCCACATAAGTGGACAGCAGCCAACCTTGCAGTACAGAAAGATTTGTACTGGGTTAACCTCATAGATTACAATGTCTTCCTTTATATTTTGAAGCGTATCACACACCCTGTTAGTTCTAACAAGTCATTTTAATGGAACATCCACAAAAAGCTTCACTAATCAAGTTCAGACAAATCATTATTAAAAAATCCCAAGAGATTTTCTTTTGCAGCCGTTTCTCCAGTATGTGCAAGTCAGGCAACCTGTTGGCTTCTACCACCAACAATTATTTAAAGAAACAAGGATGGAAAGACTCCTTCAGGAGAAACTCTCCTATGTCAGCAGAATTCACCAATACCAAACTCAGAAATCAGAACATGGCCCGACATTTCTTAGCATCTCACTATGAGGGTGCAGGGACCTTGCCAAAGTTTTAAAGTTTTTCTAGCGAACAGTTTAAACTAGTCAAATAATCTGTTAAATCACTGTACCTCTTCGATGCCAGCAATATTATTTACGGCCAATTTTTTGAGTGAACTCTGAAGTTTTTTGTCATCAGCTGTTGCTGTTCTGTGCACCACCTTCTTCTTTCTGCGGGCCGTACCCTAAAAAAAATTAGACAATGCAAGAAACATTAGACAGCTACTCTGAAGGTCTGACAGTTGTAGTCACATGCACCTATCATTTCAACTAACTCAATTCCACAAAAGAAACTGCTGAGTATTACACCCATGTTATCAGGACATCCCAGAAATCTTGGACTGACAACCCTGCCGAGTTTTGTGAGATTTAAAGCAAACAACAAGAAATTGAGCAAGTCTTACCCAACACACATTACACTAGAATTTTAGAATCACATCACCCAGCTATGCTCCATCTGCCTACAGTACTTAGAAGCTCCAATGTCAGGAAGCTCATCCAGTTTATACATTTCCCCACCCCATATAGAAGGCTGCTTCTTTACCTTCAAGAATTTTTTAAAAAGCATAATAAATTAACTGGAGCTACTGATCCATTTGATTTTTTTTCCTTTTGCTACATTTGCTGTATTTACTACTTGGTGTTTTATACTAAGAGGAAATGAAAGAAAGTGAAAAAGAAGTTTGCATATATTTTTTACTACAAGGAAATGAAAGAAAGTGGAAAAAAAGTTTATTTTTTCCATTGAAAAAGCACACATTCAAACTGCAACTCAAGAAGAAACCTTCAAGTCAGTTAAGTTGTAAGGCACCATTAGAAGGAGCAAAACATCCTTCCTATTTTGTAATGCTTATATGCTGCAAATTCCCACACAGTGAAGTGCCTCTGTGTTCAGGATTTAAAGTGCTACACTTAGGGCTTTTCTATTTTACAGAGCCTCAGCCATTGTAGCTGTGCCAGCATAGCTACACCATCATCTGAATGAAGTAGGCCAAACCAACAAAAGCCCTTTTCTGTTGGTATAGCCATGTTCACCCCAGGGGTTTACCAGAACAGTCAAATAACTTAGTGGGTGTGATGTAGCTATGCTGGTAAAATTTTGTAGGGGAGACCAGACCCAGGAAAAGAGTAAGTCTTCAGACCCATGCATCTATGCATTGGAACAATCCAGCCAGTTGGGTCCATTCTGAAAAAGTTACTTTCCAGCAGCCAAAGTGCTACAATTAGAATTGTAACAACATTTTAGGTCCCCAAAATATACAGCAAGGACTTACCTATGCACAGAAGTTAGTTCAGGTTCAGGCACTGCCTGAATTAAATTGCAATAAACGAGCGCCTGTGCATGGGGTTATTCAAGAAGAGATTCATAGACCATAAGGCCAAGAAAGATCATCTAGTCAGACTGCGATCATCCAGTCTGGTGGTTCCCAAATGGGGATCTATAATACCACAATAAGAGATCTGTATCAGGGCCTCCTTTTTATTAGGGTACATAGTGGGTCTTAAGAAACAGAGGGTCAGCAGCAGCACATTAGTTCAAAAACTGTGAGAATCACTGACCCAGTCTGACCTCTTCTGTAACACAAGCTGCAGCACCTGCCTGAATTAATTCACATTTGATTTAGGACACCGGGGTTAGAAATAACTGTCACGAATATCTGTGTGTAGGCAAGACCCCAGAATGAGATACGTTAAGTGGCTTTCTATGAACCTAACATGGTTTTCATCTTACCTTTCCTCCTATTCGGACCTGAGCTTGAAGCTTGGCTAACTTTTCTTGATTCATGGTGGTGTATCTGAGGGATAAGGAGACCAGCTCTATTACCACAATGTTAAGATTAAAAAGTTGACACACAAATAATCCCCTGCTCATGAAGTGATAACCTATTTCAAAGGCATCCAGAACCAATATAGCAAAGCATCCTGAATGAATGCAGCCAAGTTGTTTGTTTTTTTTAAAATAAATTATGTTTCACAAGCAACAAAAACATCTGATAAGAACTTGAGGCAACATTTTGAGCCACACCATTGAACTGGTGCAGCCCATAGAAAAAGGAGTCACCTGCAACGAGCCTACAACTCTGCTGCAAACTGACAGAAACCAGGAAATTCAACATTTCATCCCAAATCAAGTCTTCGCTCACCCTCATACCAATCTGCTGCTTCTCCCCTCACCCACCCAAGCTAGCAACTGACAGCACAGACCCGCTGACTGGCTTCTCAGTCCGCTTTATAAAACAGCACGTTTCCAAACAGATCACCCTAAAGCAACTGTGCTCAATTACAGAAAAAGGGAGATGAGGCAATTGCAGAAGATGCCTGGTCGCCCACCAGCCCTGGAGCAAGGAGAGCCCAATGTCGGACTTAACCCTGACCAAAAACCCCCCTCCGACACGGTGGGAAAAGCCTCCCGCACTTTCCCAAGCGGTCATTTTGGGAGTCCTTTCGCTGGTCTGTGCCAGCAACGTGTCGGGGTTTCAACGCCTGGCAACTTTCACACGGGACAAAAGAGAGGAGTGGGCTCCCTGCAATGGAGGGGTTGGGGGACTGGGGAGGGCTCCCTCCAGTGTAGCTGTGCCCCACGGCGGGTGGGGGGCAGCAGGGTCACCCCCCCACACAGGGGCAGGGGGAAGCGTATGGGGTGGGGGAGCAGGATGAGGCCCCTTCTCTCACCCCAGGCCCAGGAGGAAGGGGACGCACCAAACCCCAGCCCTAAGGGGCTCTCGGCTGCCTCCCGAGAGCAGGACCCGGACACACACATCCCCCTCCCCCAAAGCCCGCGGAGCAGGGCCCAGCCTGGTGAGGGACGAAGAGGCCATGGAAGGGGGCGCGGCCGGGCCGCAGCAGGCGGGGGAGGAAAGGGACAGAGCAAGGTCGTACTCGCACTGTCGCCCGGCCCGACACGGCCCTGCGGAGGGGAAGGGGGGAGGAGGAGGCAGCGGCGGCGGCGCGGTCTCACCGTCCGGTCCGCTCCGCTCCGCTCCAGCACGCGGCGAGAACAAGATGGCGACCACGGGGAGGCGAGCGGTCCAGAGAAAGGAGGCCTAGCACCACGTGACGCAAGGCCCCGCCCCCATTGGACGCGGCCGCCATGTATTTACATAACGCGGAACGCCAAAATGAGCCCGCCGCCCTGCCCACAGTGGGCTGGTGGGCGCGGGGGACTACAAGCCCCAGCATGCCCCGCGCCAGGCAAGTTCCCTGTGCCCTGCTGCGGGTGCAGTCAGCTTAGACGACCGGGAGGCTTGCAGCGCGCAGGATAAAGTGAAGAAGAAAAGTGATTTGCATACTTTCAATAAAAAAGATGCATGCTCTATTTATGTATTATAGACCTGTATGATAGGTGCATCTTTATGTGCAATGCAAGACCTTTTTTTTGCAAAAAATCTTGTTGGTCTCATAAAAGAGATCATCTCTACCACGAGTCCTGATTACTTGCTTGCAGTTTTTTTTCCCCGTGTTCAATAGGTTTTTTTTTTTTCCTGCAAATACAAGCATTTTGAGCTTCCATCGGATGCTCCAACCGGGGACAATCCGAAATGTGTCTGGGAGCCAGGCGAGTCCTGCAGCACAAACCCTTTCGGGGGTGAGGGCTTCCAGCACGAAGGGAGGTGAAATCCTGCTGCTCGTCTCCCCCCTGGAGATCATCTGTAAAAACCAGGCCCGTGCGGAGCTTTGCTAAAAATAAAAATAAACAATCCTCTTTCTGCCAAGTCCTTCTTTCAGCTTTTAGGACATCTAACCTGCGGCAGGAGCACCACCCACATCCGCCAAACATCACTTCCTGGGTTTAAAAAAAAAAATACATAACCTAAAGTGATCGGATCGGATCGGATCGGATCTGGTCTTGCTTGGAGATCTGTCGCCGGGAAGTCGTTGTGCCGCTGGGGATCCGAGCTGTCACCATGAAGGTTCAGGCAGCGACTCTCTCCACTTGCTTCCTCTGTTCAGTTTTCCTGGTGCTTGTCTCAACCGCTGCCGGAGAAGGGCTTGGAAAGGGTTAGACATCTCTTCTTTGCCTTTTGGTTTGGTTTTTTTTGCTTTGCATTTTCACTTTAACGCTTGTAATAACGAACCCGGCATCTGGAGGGGCCCTGCAGTCGCAGGATTTAATATTTGCAAGACTATAGGCATCTTTGACTGTGTTTTCTTGGAATTAACCGGTTCATTATCCACAGGGAGGGGAAGAGACCAGGGTAGAAATGAGGCTGAGACACACGAGATGATGGTGATGAACAATTGCACTGCGGTACTGCAAGAGCGCCAAATGCCTTCACGTCGTGGCAATGAAGGAGAAGGAGCTGTACAGTTATTTTTGGGGGGAGGGGGCTTCCAGTTTGCAGGTCAAAACTCTTGATTTCTTTGGGAGAGCAGGCCTCCGCGGTCTCGCTCTGGGAAGGAAACAGACTTTTGTTTTAATTGAGTGTTAGAGGTAGGCTTTTAAAACCTCTCACTCTGATGATCCAAAATTTTGTAATGGGTCCTTTAGTTAAATCTCATGTAAAGATACTGTACATTTCTTCTCAAGTTATCCTGTTCTCACATCCTACAGCTGTGCAAGGAAACCATAGTGAGGCCATGGCTACTAAATAATTTAACAAGTAGATGATTTCTGTCCTGTCACTTTTAACCTTTCCCTGTTTGAGTTTCAGTATTTCTACCGCCACTGAGTCAACCTGATGCTGTTTTGATTTTTTTCTAGGTTCTCAATTCATTGTCTTACTCTTACCAGTTATCTCCTGAATAAACTCTGATGTTTGTCCGTTCTGTACCCAATTTTAGATTTATCTTTCCCCAGTTCTCTTGAGTCCTCCTTTAGTTTTCCCATATTTCTTCTGTAGTTTGAATGTGGAGTAGGTGTAACCAGTATGTTAGTGTTTAAAACTGTTTTAGAGACAAGAAAGCAGTGGGGCTGGACCCAATGATCTTGCAAGTTCCCTTCCAGCCCTAATATCTATGAAAGTTATGACTTCAGCATCAATACTTTTCCTTTCTTATCATTTAATTTATACCAGGGGTTCCCATTTCTTTCAAATAAGACTATTTTACAACCTGTTTAGTTTTTTTTTTCATAGAAATAGAATTTAATTTGCAATGGAAAATATTATCTCTTCTTTTTTTTATATTAAAGCCAATAAATTTAATCAAGGCATCGGCAGTGGGGGAAGGTGAAGATTGTCCCGATCTTAATGGTGATGAACATTAGTTTAGTCTTGCTTGTTAGAAAGCAGTGTGGTCTAATATGTATTAATAAATCTTTGATGATGAGATTGCTTGTGAAGATATATTACAGGTTGTCGAATTTCAAGATAAACACAAAAAGACTTTGTGAACTGTAACAATCATGAATCTAAAACAGGAATTTTTCATCAACCCAGATCAGTAGATGGTCTTCTAGTTTTTAGCAGCCAGTCCTCTGAAAGAGCTGTAGATGGGAACTAGTTATGTATCCTGAAGTGAAAGAGGAGGCAGAATGCCATCATCATTTGTTATCTCCATGAAAGAGCAGCTGATGATGTGGACTGTTCTGCTGATAAACTGGTTACCCTTATTTCTCTTCCGCTCGGGTTGTACAAGCGTTGGCTTGCTTTTGAAACAATCTATTGCTGGTAGCTATATGTGATCTATGTACAGGGTATACCACGTACTTAGGCTCTAATATCCTGAATGAAAAGTGGATGTGGGACAGGCCAAGTTAAACTGAAATATGATGAGCAAGGAACCTGTTTCATGTATGAGGAGGGTAATGTCCTGCCCTAAAGAGGGAATCAAGGGTCATAAGAACACAGTAGAGCGTGAAATCTTTTTCTATGCCAGCAATTAAAACCTGCCAAATTCAGAATCCATTTTTAAAAAGTGCCACAGGCTTTCGCTGACCTTGATCCCAGTTCTTTCCACTTTTCTTATAAAGACTACCTTTGCTTTCCCCTTTGGTTAATGCCTATGGTTCTTTTTTGTTAAGCAGTCACCACAGGCCCAGTCTTGTCTCCACTTGCATCAAAGGGATTCTTACCACCTACTCAAATCTGATTCAGCAAAATGCTGGAGCACGTTAACATCAAAGGGACTTTGTTACCTGTATTGGATCCTGATTCTGAAATGTTTAATAAGAAACCCGAGTCTCATTAAATGAGAGTTAAGTGTGTACTTGAAACATATTTAAATGCACACTTAAGTGCTTTTGCTGAATACAATGAATACATATGAGGATGCTATATTTGACTATATACACAGAAATAATTCTTATACATAGTAAACCTACCTTCAGTGCTTTTAACTGTTAAAGCCTGGCAGATGGTCTGTTCAAGTGGTGTCTCCACTTGTAATGCATGTGTCTAAATCAAGTTAAAATGAGAATTAGGTGGGGGAGGAGGGAAAAAAAAGCCTTAATCCTTTTCTGAATTTCTTCGGTGGGGCTGCATTTCCTATCAGCTGGTGAAAACCCCGAAACTATGTAATAGTTGGTTTGTTCCTTTGTTTTTCTTTCTTGTTACTCCATGACGATTATCAATATAGTGCTTAGTATAATAATTTTACAGTGATTTATGCTCTTGTTAATTATTGTGCTATTGATCTTCAATTGATAAATCTTTTATATATCTTTTATTCAGAATAATTCCTAAGAGGTCTTATCATTAACTATAGACCAGGGGTGATCACAATATGGTTCATGAATCAGATCCAGTCTGTGGAGCTGTGTTATCCGGCCTGCAGGGCTTCCCACGGGTCTGGAAATTTGGCATCATGGCAAGTGGTAGCAATATTAACTGCTGCAGCTCTCAGAGCAATGGTAATTAACACTGCTGTCACTTGTCCTATTGCCACAATTCTGAACCCATGAGGTCCCCCATAGGCTGAATACAGAGTGGAATCATCTGGCCTATGGGTTGGGAAATCCAGCAGTAGGAGCAGCAGCAGCTGCTGTGGTTATGGAAGCCACAACTTTTAATGCTGCTGCCACCAAAATCCAGTCCCGTGAACGGATGACAGCTCCATGCTCCAGATCCAGTCCACAGACCAACTCCACACCACTCAAGTGGTCTGCAACTGCTATAGGAGAACAATACGCATAGATCCCTTTTTAATCCATTACTGAAGTATAGTCAGCTGGTGAGTGACACAGTCTCTCTAACAGCTCACATACTTCAGTGAAGGGAGTGAAGAAGAATACTATATCCAGTTGTAACTGCAGGAGGAATTCAGATAAGTAGGCTGCAGTTTGGGGTGCTCTACTTAATATTGATAGATCTATTCTTAAGTGCAATGGGATCTTTAGTGGCCATGAGAGTCTCATGTTTTCAATCTCTGCTATCAGTCCTATAGAAAGACAGATGGCTGCTTATTACTAAGTCTTTTAACCATAAAAGCTTGTTTATTAAGGCTGAAGAAAATGAACCAAAACCAAAAAACTGTCAGAAAGGTCTGTCCTCACCTGTTTTTTCACATAGAGAAGACCCATGCATCTCTCTGTGAGCAGTTAAATGTAGTTCTGTCTGAAACTGGATGAAGTCAGCTGGGTAATGGCAATGTCAGGGACAGAAATCATGGCCCGGTTTAACTCAATTACAAAGCTCCTATTGACTTTATTGGTGTCAGGATTTCACCCCAGGCCAGTAGTCCTCAAGCCTTTTGGGGGTCTTATACCACCATTTTGAGCATGTTACATTGCTGTGAACCCCTATGATTGCATGGTACAGATAATAAAAAGTAATGCTTCAAGTCATTACAACTTCTCCAGCAACCTAAGAGATATTATAGAGTTGGTCTTAATTTTTTTTTCTTCCTTTTCCTTTGTTCAGTTATATTACTTTATTTGGGTTAATTTTAGTTTGTTAAGTATGGTTATATTTTAATTAGTGTAAAGATGCCTAGAAACCCAGATAAGTACTTCTTATGTAATGTATACTTATAAATAGAAAAATACAGTACTAATAGTTCACATAATTGCCAGGTCCATTGTTTAGATGGTAAATCATGATGGCATTCTGCGTCCTCTTGCTTGCTTTCAGCACTGGATAACACAACCAGGATGACATGCCTGATGAAGATAGATCAGTGATGGGCCCAACTAAATGTTTTCAGGGTTGAACTTTTATTCTTTAATAACAGACTAATGGACATAAATACCAGACTCTCTTCCCCCCATCCCTCTGCAGTCATCTTTAGACATTGCATATGGTGAATCAGGATCACAAACTTTACACAGATAGAATATTTAGAGATTAACTTGTAAGACTTAAGCAACTGCCATTTTAAATCCTGCAACTCTCATAATCTTTCTGGCTTCCAGGGTTTGGAGATCACATCCACTGGAGAACCCTAGAAGATGGAAAGAAAGAAGCAGCTGCCAGGTATGTTATGCAGTTGAGGTTCATAGGAATATCTGTATGTAAAAAGAAAAAAAGATTTTACATTAATTTTTACATGTAGTCACAGAGGCTGCTTTTGTAGAAAAGTATAAGGTGGTTCCAAAGAACCTATATATCCTGATGACAGGTCAGAGAGAAAACATAAGCTTTGTTTTTTTAATGACCCAGGCCCAGAGCTTACAATGAGATCTTTCAGATAGTTTCTTGAACACATGTGGAACCTCATTCATTGTGATGGGGCTTTGCTTAGGTTTACCCATGTAGATCCAATTGCTAGTGTGGCTTTTACTGCATTTTTTAGAGGAAAATTATAGTTTTGACTTTTTTTTTTGGTAATATAGAAAGAGATATGGGCCCCAGTTCTGCAAACAGTAACTCACACACTTTTACTTGTACACTTAAGTAATTTCTGTGGACTCAACAGACCTATTTGCATGCATAAAATTAGATACATGTATGCAGGATTGATGCCATTAAGTTAAATGAGGGTATTATTTTATTACCATCTGTGAAACCAATCTGGAAATGCAAAAAATGTTTTCTAATTTTTCAGATATAAAAAGCAGCCCCTTGAGTTGTTAAATTAGGCAAGATTTCAGGCACCCTTTAAAAGCCTTCCAGAATAATCCTGCCTATATTATTAGTTCAAGCGTTACATTTGTTTTCAAAGGGCGTAGCTCGAATTTGAATTCTGCAATCAAACTGACCTCTCCCACAACTCCTAGTCACGATAACAATAATGTTTATGTAGATGCTAAATTAACACAGTTGTGGGGTTAGAGAAATCTAAGAGATGTATGTTGTGGCTTTTGTGCAATATACTTGACCAAAACCAAGGTTACTGCAATATAGAGAGTATGAATCTATGTTTCCATGATGACTGAGATCACATTCTCTACTGCTGAACTTCTACCTACCTATAGCCGTCATACCTGTAACAGACTTGTAGCATCAATTTAATCATTATAAACTTTGTGTATAGAGCATACATATAAAGCGTGGCCCACTTGGCAGGTGACAGTCCACAACACAAGGCAGAATAGAGATGCACCTTAAGTTATAAACTGCGAGGTGCATGATAGTGTGGTCAGCCTGCTGGAGACCAACCACAGGCGCCGACTTTGGTTTTGCCCGTGGGTGCTTGCAGACATTAAAAAAACAAACCAAAAAAAAGCAAAGAAAAACCCCGGCGCTTCACTTTAAACTTGGTGCAGTCCCGTGCCAAGCCCTGCGCATGCCCAGCAGAGGCGGCATGTTACTTCAACTCAGCTTGTTAGCATCTATAAAGATTGGGTGCTTTAATTGGGCTTTTTTGGGCCCTTTAATAGCAGATTGAATCATTTTTAGCTAAAAGAGCCAAAAAGCCTCGCTGAAGTGTGGGAGCTTTACAGAAGCTGCAGAGCTGCTTCTTCCAGTAAAGCACTGTTTTGGGGGGGTCTGTTTTTTTGGGGGAAGGTTAACATCTTTAAGCAGCCTGTAGCTGTGGCTTGCAGGTGCTGAGCACCTGCTCATTTTCCAGTAGGTGCTTGAGTGCCCACAGAACCAGCACCTATCCGACTTCCCTAATGGCTTTGTTTTTCCTGGCTCCCAGGAGCAGGGCTGGGATTCCCCAGACCCTCACAAGAGCCCTTCCAGGATGCTGGGCTGAGTCGGCTCCCCCAAGGGGGTTGTGCTTCCCCAACCAAACCCCTCGCAGCGCAGGCACACGTGGCTCCTTGCTGGGGGTACCCAGGAGTCCCACATGGGCTGGAAAGCAGGCAGTAGCGGTGGCGCATGCGCGCTAGCCTGCAGTAGGACATGCGGCGCACGTGGGGGCACTATGCCGGCTTGCCATTGGCTGGGGCCGCGCTGTGGCGTCACCGCCGGAGCCCGGCTTCGTTTTGTCCCGGGGCCGCGGAAGAAGCCGCGGCGTGATCTGCCCCGGAAGTAGTCGCGGGCGCTTCCGGGTCGGTAATGGTGGCGCCCAAGGCGTACTAGCAGCATGCCGCTGGTGGTGTTGTGCGGCCTGCCGGGTAGCGGCAAGAGCCGACGGGCTGAGGAGCTGCGGGCGGCGCTGGGCGCCGAGGGGTGGCCGGTGCACGTGGTGGCCGAGTGGGA